GGGCATGTGGTTGGCTGGCAAGTTATTAAAGAAAACAACTAAAAATAACAATCACTTAAACTGCTTAAAGCTTACAGTCATGTACATAGAAATCCAGGGATTTATATTCACGGCCTGCTAGGGTGTTTTTAACTCAGTTTCTTGGTTTCAGTTTACTTCAGTTTACAGCATGCTAGCCTTGGAAGCAGATTTAGTTGTAGTATTGATGACGGATCTCTGTTATTCAGCAAGGGCCTAACACAGCGCCTGTTGCATCTGAGACAGGCTTTTTCAGCTCTCTCTCTGTGCTTCAGAAATACTGCCTTCCCCCAAATCTAGTAACTTATGTTATTTATAGTTTCTGTATTGAAAAAGGACTTCGAGTTTCATTTCACTTATTCCTAATGTGGTCACAAGACAATTTTTGCTGACTATTCTATTATGGAAACAATTGTGTTTAATGAATATATATATATATATATATATATATATATATATATTCAGCAGTGCTGTCTCTTCCATTTGATAATAGGGATTAAAGATTTATTTCTCCAGGTGTCTTATTATAAATATTGTTAAAACTAAGCATAAGTTTTGGAAAAAGCTGAGGAAATGAATCTGTAATAACATCACAGTTAAATTATATAAACTCTCACTTTGAATGACTTTAGCTAACTCGCAAATTTTATTAGGAAATTTGGGTTAATGCAACATTCAAATATGAGTTCTACTCATGCTAATTAATTGCTGTTGAGAAATTTCACTTGTATAAGTTTATTGGGGGGGCAATCAAAACTTTCAGATTTATATAGTAAGTCATGGGAGGCACAACTTAGTTTTGACTTTCATATGTATTTTAATGGAAAATCAGATGCAATTAAATTCAGAGGCATGTTTTAACTTAAGATGAATAAATTCTTTTTTTGCAGTTGAACTTTAGGGATTATAAAATATTGTGTGAAGTATTGTGATTTTTGTATGTAGGCTTTGTAATCTGAATTATTTTGTTTTCTAGGAAACTGTAAGACTAGTACTAAAACCTGTTCTCAATAACACAGTCCTAATTTTCAGTTGTTCTGGCACTTCATTTTCCCAGTGCTTTCTCCTGCACCGCTCATGTCATTTAATTTTTCTGAAGACTGTTATTATTACCATTGTCGTGTTGAAAAGATCAGAGAGAAGCCTGGACCTTGCAGCTCCAGGCCTATCATCCTAGCTACTCAGGAGGCTGAGATCAGAGGTTCAGTGTTGATGATCTACATTACTAACTGTTGTTAAGTGGCTGTTTCAAAAGAGACACTGGAAGAGAATGTGAGAAGTAAAATATTCCACATACTGATAGATTAAATTGACCTCTCCACTTATAATTTAAGGATTAGAAAGATTGTTTTTCTCAATTTTTCAGCCAAGGGTATTTTTAATTTGTTGTTAAAATATAACATAGGCCAGTTTATCTTACTTCAATGTAACATCACGTAATATGGCTTGGTAGTACATTAAAATACGTCCTATTTTTTTAAACCCTTTATTTAACATGCACAATACAGAAAACATATATAAACAAAGTGCAAAGTATTACTGCCACAAGCAGTAATGTGTAGAGAATTCAGAAGACTTTATTGGCGCAAAATGCAAATAAACAATGTCATTCATTTGTACAACTACATACAAGCATCTGGAGTGACTGATGAATGAAAGTTTAGGTGCTCAATTGTTGCCTTGCATTTGGATTATTACTAGTTGATTGACCTTCTACCTATTACTGAACTTTTTCTCTAGCTCAAGGTTCATAGTGTATACAATGGACTTAGTGGAAATAACCTGTGTAGTAAGATTATCATTAAGTATTATTATAGGTAAACTGCTCCACACATGGTAAGTGTGTTGTTACATGGATGGCAACTGCTGTGAAGGACCTCTATCTCCGTTGCCTATCTTGAGTACTGTAAATAATGTTCTCTGTCAGTGTGAAAGATAATAATAACAGAAGCCTGGTCTAACAGTGCTAGAAATGATTAAAATTCCACCTGAACTTCCAAAATAACACGATTCTTTTCAGTGTTACCAACACGTAGTAGCGTTAAGCCAAAAAAGTTTAAGTAAGTACGTATGGATTTAGAACTGAATAATTTTATCTCTTATTTGTGGAAATTTAATAAATAATAATAGTAATAATAATAAATAATAATAAAATTTAATATTGAAGAAAAAAATTGCTCCAGTTCTGGCTTTGGTTCCCTTTCTTTCAGTTTCTCTTGAATATGTGTATTGTTTTTAAATCGTGGCACATAGGAGTTGCCATTCCGCAAAGCAGTTTATGAATGTAGTGTGTCTTAATCACTGTCATCCTTCCACATAAACCAGAAGTCTTTGGGTCAGCTGGGTGTCTGAATCTCTGTCATGTGGGGTGGAGGCCATGCTGTGTGTTACTGTGTATTTTGAAGCCTCTGCCACATGATTTGTGCGATGTGAACCTTTCTTCTCTATTCTTGGGCCAGAGTGATGTTGGTCCATTGTTTTCTAGTCTGATCATTTCTAACATCATTTGTTTTCTTCTTTACCTTTCTTAGTAAGGTTGTAGGTACACAGTAGAGGTGCCTCACCAAGTTCACCTTTATAGCAGCTTATTTTTAAATATATTTATGATTTCACACTTGATGCTCAATTAACTATTTACCCATGAAAAATCATTCACTCTGACTCATCCCTTGCTGGTTTTATGAAGTTGATGTAAAGGCAGGTACTCTAAATCAACAGGGTATTTTTACACAATTCTGGAACCTAGCCTGCTGTTGGTTCCATGGAATGAGATTCCTCTAAGTCAGTGAGGACAGGATTGTGTAGGTGTGGTGATCATACTATTTATTATTCTGTCATCCATATGTTTTATGAATTGGGAAGTTACAGAATAAAATATGTCAGCCCAAGAGGCTAGGTACATCCGTTTGCAGGGTTTATGAGCTTCAGGCACATTGTCAGAGATCTGTACCTATCCTTTTTGTGTTCATTCCATCTTGCCTAATGGCATATTTGCCCTTTAGAAATGTAATTATGTAGAGACTAATTAGTGGGCTATTGCAGTTACTCAGGTGACTGAAAAGATAAAAAGGGCTCTGACAGAGCCATAAAGATGAACCTTCAGGGACAGAGGGGAAAGCCTTGCAAAATGAGAACCAGTGAGCTTTGGAGACTTTACGAAGCATGTCATTGTAAGTGAGGAATCAAGAAGTGATCATCAGGTTTCTGATTTTAGCAACTGAGGAAATGATGGTGTTAATTACTAAGAAGGTTTTTTTTTCCCCACCTATTTTTGGTTGTTGCATTTATGTATTTACTTAAGTGGGATATTTTTTCTTAGTTTTTGGATATGTTAACTTTAAAATTCCAGTATGTTCCTAGATTCATGTAGCCCAGTCAACTCTTGAGAACAGATCTGGATATAAGCAGAGAAATCATTGCTTCAGCATTGAAAGCAGTGAACAAGTTACAGGGACTACATTGATGCATTATTTTATGAATAGAACAAGAGAACCCGGTGAAGTACCAGCTTCCTTTAAAGGGTTAAATGGAGAGATACTTTCTTCTTCATTCTGTACAGGATGGTGTTAAGAATGGAAAAGACTTAGGAAGGGCTGCATTCTCAAAGCAAAGAAAAGACAGGAAGGAAACTAAAATCATCAGTCTCAAGTACTGCAGCTAAGTGGCCAGTTCACATAAATCTCCTCTTCTTCTCTTTGAGGGATTTGAACATCGATACAATGTTTTAGAGGGAATTCTGGCAACAGAACCCCAAGGAGATTTAGGGGTAAATAGGACTTGATGTGTCACTGTCCATTCTTAAAGAATTCTGACTTTGAAGGGAAGAACAATTAATTATGAACAGTAGTTTCAAGTTTCTGCAGGGGTATTTTCGTGAAAAGAGGCACACAAATGTTTTTATATGGTACATGTCTGTAAGATACTTACCAATTACAAGAGAAAGTGACTATGGGTAGAAGGATAGGCCAAAACAGTCATACTATCTAGGGTACAGATATGGAAGTGGACCAGGTAAACTGAGGGTACAGCTGGGGTTGGTTAAGACTGGGGACAAAAAAACAAATGGAGAGGGCACCTTAAGATGCATTCTATTGAAAAAAAAACAAAAACGTGATTTGAAATCCCTTTGTACAACTACTGAAAGATAATAAAAATATATTTTATAAAAGAGAATGGGGCTAGACTAAAAGCTCTCTGTGAGAGTTCTTTTTTTAACTGAGTTCAGTTTCCTGACATTTTGTTTTTCTAGACATAATTGTAATTAATTTTTATTTAGGTCATGTGGAGCAGATCTAGAAGGGCTGGGATAATGCAGGGGCTGGAATTTAAGAAGCCTCCTTGGGAGGCCAGCAGAGTCTAAGAGTCTGTAGAGAAAGACGTGTTTTACAACAGTGAACTGAAATTTACACAGTATTCTGAAATTCAAGCTTACTTGACTACATCTAAGTAGCACATAAATAGCAGTATAGATGGCCTTCAGTCCTTTGTTCCTTTATAGCATCTGATTAAATTCTGTCTCTCCCTTTGTTGTTGACCCAGACTGTCTTTTGCCTTTCGGAGAGTCGTGGACAAATATTTCCTAAGCAGCGGCTAGTGAGGGAGGCAGCTCATGTTTCCCTGTGTATATCATTGTCTTAGACAGCTTTCCTTTGTAATAGTGATGAGAAAATGTGCATGCTCCTCAAAGAAATCCAGGTGGTTAGTAACTCTAGTGGGAGAGGAGGGTGGCTAGAAGGGGAAAGTTCAGTGGAAGGGGAAGATCTGGTGGGGGAAGGGAAACTTCTTAATATTTTCCAATGGGACATAAATGCAACGGATAGCTGCATCATCTCTCCTGAAGAGTTGCTTCCTTCTATTTAGAGTTTATTTGGATAGAATTTTCACTGCTAACCATTTTTAAATTTTGGAATATGAAGTCACATGTTGTAGTTTTGTGTATAGTAATGGAGTCTTGTCTCCGGATTTCTGTTGTTCTCATGCAGAGGGCTACTTCTCCAGGAGAATAGCAGGTTTGCGGAAGCATTACATTATTACAGATTGGCCATTGGGAGCAGGCCTACCCTGGCTTGTAAGTACGAGTCAAGTTTTGAATTTTTAAAATGTTTTTATTGTGAAAATATGGTATAGAGGGGTTACAATTACATGAGCAAGGTAATGAGTACATTTCTTATCAAGCATTGTTGCCTCCTCCTTTGTTTCCCCTTCCCATCTCCCCCCCCCAAAGTTGTAAAGTTCGTTTTTGGACATAACGACTTGTATATCTCATTGTTGCGATGGGTCCACCTGTATCCCTATTTAAATGATTTGTTTAAAATGTTTTTGTTTTTTTTTTTTCCACTTGTGAAGCTTACCTTTGGGACATAGGACCTCACAGAGAAAATGTGATGTTACTTTTTCCTTTTTTTTGTTTTTGTTTTTGTTTTTTTTTTTTTAAATTGAGGCTCTTTCTCTGAGCCTCTTTGTGCCCAAGCTAGTGCTCTTGAGCCATAGCACCACTTCCATTATTTTTTTTGTCTGTTTTGAGTATTTTATTGGAGAAAATAGTCTCACAGGGACTTTTCTGCCTGGGCTGGCTTCAAACAGCAATCCTTAGATCTCAGCCTCCTGAGTAACTAGGATTACAAGCGTGAGCCACCAGTGCCCAGTTTTATTGATGAATTTCTTAACCATTATATTTCAATTCCACATTTTGATTCCATCTCCTTTTCCTTAAAAAAAAAAAGTACTATTTTCCAATAGCTGTAACTTTGACTCAACTAGATTTTAAGCTGAAAAGTATTTGGAGTTCGGTGGAAGCAGAGAATATTTTATTAGCATTTGCAGGGATAATTGGTTCCCTTCTGCCATTGTGAATCTCATAAGTATTTGTTCCATACATATTTATTTCTTATTTTATTATTTAAATCAGCAGAGTTACTAAAGCAAAGCAAAGGGTGCTATACTTTCTGTAGAGTGTCTATCATCATCTCACCCTTCTATTTCTTTCTACTTTTCCCTCCTCAGCTGCGTATTTAAACACTGGCATTATTCTGATGAACCAAGGAAAGACAGAAGAGGCCCGGCGGACCTTCCTCAAGTGTTCAGAGATCCCAGATGAGAATTTAAAGGACCCTCATGCACACAAGAGCTCAGTGACCAGCTGTCTATATAACCTGGGGAAACTGTACCATGAGCAAGGACACTATGAGGTCTGACAACATCTTTTTTTTTTTTTTTCTCATTCAGTCTCAGTGTTTTCTAGCCTATAGCCTCTTGGCAGGGCCTTTACTGGCCTTTGAGAACCTAGTATGTGTTTACATGAAAAGGCTTTCTTAATCAAATTTGTTTGGAAAAACAACAATAACAACAACAAACTTCTACAAATAAATATTCAAGGTTACTTTTTGTGATTTTTCCCCCCCGTGGCTTTTTCAGAGCCATTGTATTGTGACTATTCAAGGAAGGGAAGTTGCAGTGCATTACTGCCCAAGTTTATCTTTTCAACATTGCTTTGATTTTTATGACTCAAGACACAGTTTCTATAATTGTTACCTTATCCTAGTGGTTAATACTTTAAAATGTCTCTATTGTTTGCATTCTAGGACTATCATTTGGTACAACCTATTTCTCTTCATTCCTTCTAAAACTGTAATGAAGTAGTTATATAAATGTATGCTTATATACATATACCTGCTAAAGATTGGGTAATGAGCATAACAAAATGTCGTCCACTAAGTTGTTCTCTCTTGTACAAGAAAGCATGCCTACATGTGACCCTCTTGCCTTCTCTCCTTCAAATTTGCCCCTGCTCTGACCTGACCAGCCCTACTCCTGCATGTTCTCACACAGCATGATAAGACAGCACTGTCATAAAAAGATGAAGATACAAATTTGAAAATAATTTCTCATCCTTTCAGTGGGTTTCAGCAGTTAAAATATTTGTTTGCTTGTGTTTTATTAAATCTCACTAAGTTGTTCGAGTTAAATATCTCTAGACTTTAGATGATTAATGAACAACTTCCAAGTATGAATTTTTTGGTACCATTCCATTGACTTGTCTGTGTGGACTGCAAAATATATATATTAAAAGAGCATTGCTAACATTCAGTTCTGCTAAACTAGATTTTTCTATGGCATTCTTCACTGGGCTGAGTTTTCATTTGTGAAATTAAGGCAGCATGCTCACGGGACAGCTCAATTACATTGCACTAGTGAACCATTTAGAAATGACAATGGATAGTTTTAAGTGTGGAAGAATTTGTTATTGTCTTACTTTCAGTGAATGTCTCTGTACTTTGGTGAAGATTTATCTGTTTTTTATTTGTTTGTTTTTGTCTTCTTAAATTAGGAAGCCTTGAGTGTATATAAAGAAGCAATTCAGAAAATGCCAAGGCAATTTGCTCCACAAAGCCTGTATAACATGATGGGTAAGCAAAACATTACTGTTTTCCTTGATACTTAGAGGCCTGTGGAGAAGTGAGAACCTGTGCTTATGTTACATGACAGTAGTACTCATAAACAATCCTTGTTCATGTTTCAGCATCACGTTCAAATTCTGACAGAGGGTATTTGTGCTGACATGAGAAATTCATGCATTAGCCAGGAATTACCAGCACAGTGTCCAGGTCTTAGAATTACTGCAACCGGCTCTCAAAATCATTTGGATTCCAAAAATTAGCTAGGCTTTAGAGAATGAAAAGAGAATTATCCTGTACATATGTATACATTTTCTCTTATGCTTAGGGTAACATAAAGTACATATTCATTTCAATATATTCATCAAATTCATGTTATTTTCTTCATGAGAAAATTCTCAACAGTAACCCTGCAGCGATACAAAAATTCATGAATTTTGGTACATAGGAAAGATGAGGCGAACAGAGCGAATTTCTGTGTCTTTCACTGATCAGGCCTTAGATCTCAGTATGTTTTTTCAGAGTAATACTTGAAGTAAATGGAGATGGTAAAGACGTCAAATATGCTATTATAAGTATCCTTTTTTCTGTGTCAACAAAGTCATTTAAATCTCTTACTCTGTCAGGACATAAGTAAATATAAAGAATGAGTTTTTCTAAGTGCAATAGTGGAAGAAGTAGAAACTCTCAAAGAATTCCTGCCATCTGTGGTTAGTTTTTGACTATCTTCTAGGCAATTGCTCTCAAGGCAGCTAAAGGTGGGCATGACAAAATAATCTGTTCAGCATGTGATACTTGGAAAAATATTTCTAAATTTTAAGATACCTGCTGATGTGTTAGCACAATGGTTTCTGATGATACAGGGAAGAGAAGGTGACTTTGATCCTTAAAACCATGTTTTCTTTTTCTTTTGTTCTTTTCTTTTTCTTCACAGTACAAATTACAGACTAGTAACTTTCCTTGTCATTAAACCCAATAGGTCATTTAATATCCATTGGCCTTCTTCATTCATATAAAATAAACGAGATTAGACTACACGACTTCTAGGATTGAATTACATGTGTTAATCCTATGATTTGATAGCTTCATCACTTACATAGGTGAAAAAAAGAAGCTGCAAATTTCATTAAAACTAGGAATCATATAACTGCAAGCATATTCATGTTGTTTTTGTTTTGTAAATTACAAGTAATTTAGAAATAGAGATAGAGTGAGACATGGTATGTTTGTAATCTCAGGAAATGATCCTTGATAAGAGGTTAATAATTTGTTTGTGTAGCCTACTCCTAGTTTGCCTGTTCTGCAATGGAATGTTTTAACGCTCATAAGTAGAAAAGACATTGGAAAATGCTTGTTGTTTTCTCTTGGTATAACTACTCTAAGATAAAGTAACTTCAGTAAACATACTTCTGCTTTTAAGTTTTTAAAACAAAGCATTTTACTATACAACATTTTACCATCCATCAATCACATGAATTTAAATGTACATGTGCTGAAAGGCTTGTGCTTAGTGTGAATGTATTTATGATTCTATCTATCTATCTATCTATCTATCTATCTATCTATCTATCTATCTATCTATCTATCTATCTATCTGTCTGTCTATTGTCTATTGTGGGGCTTGAACTCAGGGGCCTGAACTCACTGTCCCGGACCTGTTTGTGCTCTAGGCTAACACTCTACCACTTGAGCCACAGCTCCACTTCCAGCCTTTTCTGAGTAATTTATTAGAGATAAGAGTCTCAAGGACTTTTTTGTTTGGGCTGGTTTGGAACTATGACCCTCTGATCTCAGCCTCCTGAGTAGCTTGGATTACAGGTATGAGCCACCTGTACCTGGCACCTCTCTATTTCCTGCCCTCCCCCCCTGCTTTGTGAGGCTTGAACTCCCGGCCTGGGCATTGTCCCTCAGCTCTTCACCTCAAGGCGAGCACTCTACCACTTGAGCCACAGCACCACCTCTGCTTTTCTAGTGGTTTATTGGAAATAATAGTCTCAAGGACCTTCCTGCTTGGACTGGCTTGGGAACATGATCCTGAGATCTCAGCCTCCTCAGTTGCTAGGATTACAGGCGTGAGCCATGGGCGCTTGGCCTCCTCTCTATTTTAATACTAAATGTTTTTATATCAAAAGGAATACTGAAAGGATTGAATAGGGACTTTATGATTTTATTTTTGCAGTAGTACTTGGGAATTGCCTATTCCCAATTTTCCTCGATTATCAAAATAGACATCTTTCCTTATATTATAATAGGGCTGTGAGATCCTTGGCAAGAGACTGCATGTGGTATCTTAATTATTAATGCAGAATGGTGATTTTCACCATAGTTAACGGATTTCAGAAAATTCATTCAATTATTTTATGTAAATAAATTGGATTGGAAATTGAGCTGGTACCTTGGGACCTCTCTCCATCCTGTGACTATGCAAATGCACAGGGGCTACAGGCAGCAAAAGATAAGAATGTCCTTGGGATAAGTGTTTAGTCCTGGTCTTACAGTCTGTTATGGTAGGAGGTGGTTGCTTTGTTCTGAGAAGCACCCTCACAATTTCTTAGAGAAAGATTCTAATATAATTTTAAATACAAGATTTCTTCTATAATTATGGTGGCTGCCTTATATTTAATCTTATATGAAGATCTATCAGCTGATCAGGTTTTATCTTTGCAAAATTGCTCAGGAAACTATAATTTTCTCAGAGAGGGAGTTCACCTCCTAATCACATGGGTTAAATCCTGTGAGTGTTTGCTTTAACTCCTAACACATTTTGATTACCCTCCATTTGACAAGGGAAAAAAAAATGGACTAGGAGATAAGATGCCCTACCAGTTCATCAGTTTCATTAGTCTGTCAGCATGTGCTGATTATCCTATCAAGTTTATCAACAGCCTTGAATGTGTTTTCTAATTTTCACATTTACATATTATTAGTGCCCTTTAGGGATCAATGATGGATTATAATGTCTGGCTAGATAGAGTCTGCAAGTACTCATTTTTCTTATGTCTCATTTACTTACCCCTTTAGGACCACTAACCCTAAGTACTTGTGTGTATTTTTATGTTACACAATCGCAAGTACTTTTTGTTTTTCATGTTCTGTTTTTTTCCTTTTCTTTGGAGGTTAGACAGAAGGAAGGAGTAAGTGTGAAATAAATACAGATTTGAATATTTATTTTTAGTTAATAAATGAACTGCAGTTGCTTTTTAAAAAGCACTCTATTTTTTAAAAATTTCTTTCCTTTTGAACATTTTATGAAAAACTTCATACATGACTGTGTGCTATATGCCAGTTCATTGATCCTGAAACTCAAATGAGCATATTTTCTCCATTGGCATATTAATGAAACCAAGTCTGGTTAATTTATTTCTCAACTTAATTTTTCCCTGTTTTATTGTGAGGCATTTTTATTGTCACAATTTATAAGTAAGCAACAATCATTTAAAAATTTATTCTAAGTTTGCTCCTGACACCATAGAATTGAGATGTTTGAATAATTATAAACAGTCAAACAATCCTCTGCCTTTTCTGGAATTGTTGCATTTTTCTCCCCAGGCTTTTTTCCCCCTCTTCTCACAATTTCTTTCAGCAGCCAAAATCAAAATGATGCTTTTATCATCATGTACATTAGCTAAAATTGAAACAGCATACTCAGCTAATGCCAGTTCATTTAATTCCATTGATAGAGGGTTTCCATTACATTAAAACTTTCATGTTTAGGTTCTCTTTTTTAAATTTTCTGTCAGGGTATATATATATATATATATATATATATATATATATATTTCTATTCTTAGTTAAAATTATTCATTATTCCAATGGCTCTTGTAGATATTCATTAGATCACATATATTCTCTTATTCTTATATTTTAGATATATTTTTGAGCTGTGGAGTACTAAAGAAAACTCATATTTTAACATTTCTCAAACTTAATCTGGTATTTTCAAGATAGAAAATTATTACTCAACAAGCGAGTTCCTCTGTTCAGGGTCACACTTTTTGTTGTTGTTGGTTGTGAGGCTTGAACTCTGGGCCCGGCTGCTGTCCCTCAGCTCTTCAGCTCAAGGCTAGCGCTGTACCTCTTGAGCCATAGCACCACTTCCAGTTTTCTGGTGGTTAGTTAGAGATAAGCGTCTCACAGACTTTCCTGCTCAAGATGGCTTTGAACCTCAATCCTCAAATCTCAGCCTCCTGAGTAGCTAGGATTATAAGCGTGAGCCACTGGTGCCAAGCTGCAGGGTCACACTTTTTTGTTTCAGCATAAAACACCCTACCCTTTAACTAGAAAGGTCAAATAGCTACAGGATTGTGGTTTTATCTTAAATACATTAGATATGAATATATAAAATTTTTAATGAAAGGTCATTTTTAACACCTTTAACTTCCTTAATGTTTGTTTGTGCTTCTGATCTCTAATTCAGCATTACATACCCTAAAGGATTATAGAGAACTAAATTAAGCTGTAACTTCCAATTATTTTTATCAGTGTGAGCTTTTCCAATCCCAGAGGTCATTTTAAGCCTATTTACTATTTAAAACAAAATTACTCAGCTTTCTCAATGCAAAGTAATTGTTTGGTTTAATTATACAAATGATTTAGGCCATTTCATCTTAGTAATATATCTTGAGAGCAAAACAGTATAATTGGTGGTATGGAGAAAGAAAGAATTTAGGTTTACTCCCTGCTCATTGCATTCTATAGTCACATAGTATACCTTTTTGAAGGAAAAAATAGTATATTTTAAAGTCCTAGGTGCTACAGGAAGGATAGAGTAGTGGTGGTGGTGTGAAATAATAATAGTCAACGTAGAGCCTTCCTGTGCAGATCTTTTTAGGAAATTTCACAATCAGTCCAGAATTCTTTTGTGACTAACTTATGTAAGAAACTACTGATATAGGATATGGAAAACTATAATACTAACCTTGAGAATATTTTATCTCTTTTTGTGTGGGCTGTGTTATGGTGATTGAACCAAACCAAACAAAAAGAATGACAATGGATTTCTGATTTCTAAG